AGTGGGATTGGCGAGGGACATGGCCCAACCGTTGCGCCATACCAGTTTCTTTATGGAATTGTCTATGATGCATCATGTTGTGTCACCGCCATGGCCCATGACGATTCTGACTTGCATCTGCCCATTGTGCATCAATCTTTGATTCTGGGATCGACAGCATCACGCATCATGAAATGCTACGAAGGGTAACTACATTGTGACATGTGGGCGGATCTCCAGAGGAATCTGCAGTCTCCAAGCCCCGGTTATGGGATCGACATGATCTACTTGCTCACGCCGAGAAAAGAACAAGCTGACCTTGACGAACAGAAAGGCTTCACCACATCAAGCACCTCGTCACACCTTGACGCCCCCCTTCACATACGTGACCAGCTCGTCTGCCGCCTTTTGGTACCCAGGCACCATGCTCCCGACTCCGCTGGGCGGCTCGGCATGATACAGCGGCACCACGCGCGTCGACCCTTTGGTGACCTCGAGGATGGTCCCGTCGCCGTACGCCGGGTCCTCACACAGCGCCATCATGCCCCTTGCAATCTCGTCCGGGTGGATGAATATGTCGGCGGCGCCGGCGTCGGCGTCGAGAATGGCCCGCTTGTCCGGGTCCTCGAGCCACATGGGCGTCATGACGGCCCCCGGCGCCACGGCCCCGACGCGGATGCCGAGATGCTCGCGCAGCGAGCCGAGGCTGCGCACAAAGGCGTGCAGCCCGTGCTTGCTGGCAAAGTAGAGCGGTGAGCCCAGCCCGACGGCGTGGCCCGCGATGCTGCTCACGTGTACGAGGCACCCCGGCCGCCGCGCCTGCGTCCAGTGGCCCACGGCCAGCTGCGACAACCGGATCGGGTGCGTCAGGTTGACGTCGAGCACGGCGTACGTGCCGGGGTCCGCGTCGGCCGCGTCCGTGCTCGGCGAGTCCGGGTTCGTCGCCGTGCGCGGCGGGTGCCAGAAGGCGCTGCGCGTCGGCTCGAAGAGGCCGGCCCCGGGACATACAATGTCGACCTGCGGGAACGCCTCGAGGGCGCGCTGCCAGAGGCGCGTCAGCTGCGGCCACGACGCGACGTTGGTCGCCTGGAACAGCGCATGCGGCTGGCCGCTGCCGCCGCCGCCGCCGCCGCCGTCACGTCCCTTGGGGTACTGCGCCAGGAGCGCCTCGGCCTCGGGCCGCAGCGCGAGGTCGCCGATGAGGACCGAGCAGCCGCGCTCGAGAAGCTGCTTTGCGAAGGCGAGGTTGATGCCCGAGCCGGCGCCCGTGATGACGGCGTACTTGCCGGCGACGCTGAGGGCCATGATGGTGAGCTTGGGCGAGGGGCTATGTGTGGATTTCTCAAAGCGATGGGGCTTCGGAGATGAGAAGTAGGAGAGGGCTGTTGGCTGTTGGCTGCGGTGCGGGGGTCAAGTGGTGACAAGGTCTGGTCGTGGCAGGCTGCAAAGGCGACCAATCCTGACTTCAAAGGACCGAGGAGGTCGTTCGAGGTCTGGGGCCGACGCTGAGACTTGTGGCTGTTTCTCAAGATCCGGTCGGCTATCCACATCCGCAGAGCGACCGTATATCCCATCGGCGGCGGGGGTTGATGTCTTTAGCTGGTCCCTGGGGTCAATCGCGGGGAAAGAGGGGATCGGCTTTCTCGGCACGCTAGTCAGGACGCAGCTGTGACATCTCTTCCCTGACTCACGATTTGTGTTCCAAGACATGCTGTTCGGCCAAACCCAATAGAGTGCCTCTCACAATTGATCAAGTCTTGTTTTCATAGTGTTGAGTATAGATTGCACTTCTGCACATGTCCCTATATGACCCTCGCCCCCTTTTCTTCGTCAACAGCCCCCGTCTTGCCGCCCATCATGCCATCCGTCCGCCGGTCGTCCTCGTTATCCTCAGGCTTGCCTTCGCGCGTCGCCCAGCCATCCACGTAGCGGAGCGTCTCGCGGCTCCAGACTTTGTTCATGAGATGCAGACGTATGGGCACCAGGACAATGATGATGATGGGGAACCCAGGCGCGGCGACGGTCAGAGTGACGCCAAAGACGATGCCAGTGAGGACGAGCTGGGTAATGGTGTAACTGTGGACGCCGAGCCACGAGGCACCTGAAGGCAGCTCGGGGAGGTCGGCGGGCGCGGTCACCAGGTAGCCGATGCGGCTGAGAATCGGGTTGACAGACAGCGACTGGTAACCCATGAAGAGGAATAGACCGGCGAGGACTGAGGTGGGCGTCAAGCCGAGGACGTGCTGAAACGGCGGCGTGACAAAGATGAGGATGCCGACAGCCTGGATGAGGTGCGAATAGCGCTGCTCGTAGACGCGCGTGACAGGCTTTGGGGGCGGCTCGCCCGGCTCGGGGTCTGTGAGGGCGCCGGGGTCTTCGATGACGCTGTGCATGAGCGACTCCGAGTGGAGCGGGGCCTGAGGAAGCAGGCCGTTGGCCGGGGGGATGCCCAGAATACCGCAGAGGATCGTTGTCGTGCCAAGGAGGGCAATGTCCCAGGCGTAGCCCCCAGGCTTCTGCACGCCGTACCGCTTGGCTGTGCAGATGATGCTGCTAATCTCGTGATCAAAGTAGAAGAGGACGGTGATGATGAAGCCCGGGATGATGGAGATGAACACCCACTCGATGGGCACCTTCCAGAATTCGACGAAGAACTGGGTCCTCTCGGGGGACGAGGGCCGAAGGTTCTTCTGGACCATCAGCCGGTTGTGGTCGAGGGTGGCGAGGTCACCGACGTAGGGCATGCCGATGAAGAAGATGATGGAGATGGCGGCGGCGTACTCGGCCAGTCCCATGCGGATGTACCTGTGGAAAAGGGGCTGCCACGAATTGGCGGTCGACAGCAGGATGGCGAGGAGGCAGGTACCGGCGCAGCCAATGATGGCGTAGAGGAATGCGGCGATGGACACAATCTTCTTGGTGCGCTGCAGCTCGCGGACAGCCTTGTGGAAGTAAATGACACTGTTGAGCAGGGAGAAAATGTCGGCGCTAAAGTCAGTGACATACTGCATGGTCCAGTCGTGTGCGTTGAATATGGCGAGGAGGTAGTGCATCCAGCCGGCATGGATGAGCGACCAGGCCATGACGGGGAGAAAGGGGACCCCGAAATTCTGCTCACAGAGTTTGTAGATGTTCTCGGCGAGAACGGTAAAGGGTCCAGTCACACCGAGGATGGTCAAGGGCTGGCCCGAGAAGCTGCCAAGGGTCAGGAGGGGTTCCGAGGATACGTTTGCTGGGTGGGTTGACGGCACGCAGCAGAGGGTACTTACAGAGCAAAGATGATGCCGCAGAGACCAGTACTGAAAACGACTTCGATGGTTCCCCATGATTCACCGGTCAAGACATAGAGGTCGCCGGCAAAGGTGATGCCTGGGAGCAGGTTGGTGAAGAAGACATAGACAGTACTCGCCAGCACGAGCTGGTTGAAGACGGTCCAGTCAGAGAAGTAGCGGCCGCGGATGTTGTGAAAGTCGACCGTGAGCAGGCGAAACGGCCTCAGTTTGCCGTGCTTCCCAAAGTACGCGTGATCCTTTTTCTTGCCTGCTCGAGGGACGTCGTGAGGCAAGTCATCGTTATCGCCGTGCCGTGTTGCACGGCCTGGCTGGCTGTGTGTCTCCTTTTCGCCGGGGCCGGGACGGGTAGCCTCGTGGGATTGTGTCACCGCCAGAGCAATGTCATCTTCATCCTGTTGGCCGTTCGATGGCGGCGGCTGCCGGCCCGCATTGTGGCCCATGGTGCCGATGTTTGCGTTGCGTCTGCTTCACCTGTCACGCAGCCTGTGGCGAGGTTGGCGATGAGGGCAGCTGAGGTATTATCATGACATGAATTTGAAAGTTGGGAAAAGCGACCCAGTTCTTGGCGGCGCTCGCTGCAGTGACAACCTGAGACTGAGGTAGTCGTTCCTGCCCTCCTCCTGTACGTGGACCACCGCCTACCAATTGGGTAGGACTTGCCTAGGCAGGTAGTGAATTTTTCTGAGGAAAGTACGATACGCCATGTGGCCAATCCGCGGCCTTTCATTGGTCGGAGCCTTTCATTGATCGGGGCCTTTCATTGGTCAGGTTGCCAGCTGTGACGTCACGCTCCTGGGAACCATGTCCACTATTGCGTCGCCCTTGTTAGTCGACACTTTAGCTGGGGACTGAGAAAGGCAATCGACGGTCTACAACCCGAGGCACTGGGCGAGTTAGGCCTTACCTACCTTGCCTAGGTAGGTAGGTACCTTGCCTCGGTAGGTAGGTACCTTGTCTAGGTAGGTAGGTAGGTATTGCACAATACACATCCATGGGGGCTAAATTTGGAACGCGGCACTCGTCGGGACTTGTGCCTGCCAAGCTGCAGTGGCTAGGGAGAGGGCTGATCAGCCCAGGCCTCGAAATCACCACCACAGATGCTGCTAAATGTTGGCCCTCAGGTACCCGTCCTGGGAATGTTACTTCCAGGTGCCTACTCGATGACACGATGCAATATTTCCAAGAACACAGAACTGTGTCCGTTCGACCAGGTGGTAGTTCTGTGGATGGCAGGAGCCGTGTTGTAGGGAACGGTGACGGCGTTGCCTTCTGACCCTCACTTCACTCACTGGCCATCAATCCCCTCCATTGGCAGCAACATGGACTTGCCACTCTGCAAATGCAAAGGAAGTCAAACCGCCCGCCGCAATGAAATAGAAAACTTCTCGCAACGACTTGATCACCGTGAATAGACTTTCAAATTGTTCATTGCGCGCCTGACCATACCGGTGCCACCGCCGCCCCGCCGACTTACAGACACCAGGATGACTCTGATGCCATCCACCAAATCCAGTACACTTTCTCATAGACCCCATACTCTCAAAGGAAATCGGAGATAGTCAGCTTCGAAAATTCTGGCACGATATAAATACACAGCGGTCTCCTTCAAGACATGTCGATGCACGCAGAGCACAGTCATCCATCCCAGCTTGTACCTACCCTTCACAGTTCTTCAGAAACACATCATCATCCCTCTTCCAATAACACGACTGCAGAGAGTTCGCTACCATGTGGTTCATCGACAGTGTCATCAACTTTGTCCAAAGTTTCGGCTTCTTCGAGAAGCAGGGCAAGGTCCTCTTCCTCGGCCTCGCCAACGCCGGCAAGACTACCCTGCTTGGTCAGATCGCCGAGAACAGACGCGTAGCCTTGGCGCCGACCATGCACCCAAACAACGAGCAGATCAAGGTCGGAAACGTCGTATTTGACACATTTGACCTCGGCGGCCATCAGGGCGCCCGTCGCCTCTGGCAGGATTACTTTGTCGATGCCAACGCCGTCTTCTTCCTCGTGGACGCTACCGACTGGGCGCGTTTCCCAGAGGCCCGGGCCGAACTGGAGGCCCTTCTGGCCATCAAAGAGCTCAGGAATACGCCCTTTGCCATCCTTGGGAACAAGATGGACCGTCCCCTGGCTGTGAGTGAGGCGGAGCTTTACCACGAACTCGGTCTCGGCCCTGAAGGGCCTTGCGCCAACCGCGCCGTCAAGCTATTCATGTGCTCGGTCAAGAAGCGACAGGGATATACCGATATCTTCTACTGGCTAGAGAAGAATCTCTGAAAAGAGAAGAATCTCTGAAAAGAGAAGAATCTCTGAAAAGAGAAGAATCTCTGAAAAGGGAGTCAAATCGTGGTTTGGGAACTGGAATCACGACGCACTTGTTGTCCAATGCTCTGATCGCCTGACTTAGACCAACTCAAACAGGTAACGTGGCTCTCTGGAGAATAGAGGTTCGACGACGCTCACGTGTCAACTCACAGTGCGGTCCTGGACAGTTTCCTCGACAATGTTCCCGTCTAGGTCCTTTGGAAGCTTGCCAGAACAGGAGACGAACCCGCTGGCGATGGTACCTTGGTTGTATACGGGGCAAGGTTTCGGCGCTTGGTCGGTGGAGACCGCTTTCTTGAGCATGTTCTTATTGGCAAGAATTGTTTGACTGGATAACTCAACTCCAGAGGGTATTCAGGTCGACATGGCAATGACAGAAAGGTGGATGTACCTTGGACATCGGTGCAGTGCACTTCAAAAGAAGCATGGGCGAGCTTCTCGATGATAGTCTCTCCTTTTGTGAAGGCACCACGGGAGCTGTTAGCGCATGGTAGATAGCTACATGGAGTCCTCCATCGCCTCACACCCTCACTCAACCACAGTGTCCCCAACTTCTTGACTTCAGCCCCACTCTCCTTATGGGGTCTATCGAGATGGAGATTCGCATCCTCGCACCTGACCCTACACATGTCCATCTCATGACTCGGATCGTCCCAGTAAGGTTCTCTTCCTCCTCTAGCTTGGTAGGATAGATCAGGGCGTCGAGGCCTGCAGTGTCGGACTTCCGTGTCCGTTCGGCTCCTGACCGAGCCGTCTTGACCTTCCGTCTTCACCTTCCGTCTTGACCCTTTCGTGGTGGCCTGGTCCCACTCTCACTTTACCTCCTTGGCAGGGCATGATAGAACTTGATGAGCTACCTATCTGCCTACTGTGTACGCAGGCATCGATAATGCTCTTCATGAAATCTGCAATGTAGGTTCCGTTCAAGAGAGTCAGGATCGTGATCGAGCCGAGCTTCTCTGTTGTTCTTGCTGTGGTACTCTTTAATGATGCCTGGCCGTGAGAAGGAGGCCGAGTCTTGACCTGTTGTAAGGATGTGGCAATCGTTGAGCGGCGGCAACATTCCGCCCTCGGTAGCAAGTCAGCTCTTGGCAGCAGACAACAAAAAGGGACGCCATTGTGTGACGTTGCATTCAGATGCCGTATTGTCCCGTGAATAGTGCTGATTGAGAAAGTCATCCGTCAACAAGAACCCCAAATCAGCACTTGTCGCGCTTTCGGCATCTTCAGCCCCCCAAGCTCCGGGAAACGGAGCCGCGGCAGATTGCAGGAGATCCATGAGCTCAAGTTCGAACTCCATACTGATGTTGCTGAGCTTCCTCGTTCACGCCCTCTGATCTGATATTCTCGGATATGCTGTCGCGTATGCCGCGCATGCACGGATAGACGTTCTGGACGGCCTCCATAACATCCAGGATCTGTGCCAGAGGCTTCGAGATGTCTTTGTCGTCCCATGTGGACTTTTCTAAGAACCTCTTCATCATGACAACTTCGGCTGCCGCGGAGAGTGTGTGCACAAAGTCTAGCGGCAGAGTCTCGAATCGGTAGTACCGTGAGTAGCTTTTGAAAAGCCTAAGAATCGCTGCCAGTGATTGCTAGCAAACTTCGACACCCTCGCCTGCAGCGATGGCGGCATCGTCGAGTTGCTGGCGAGGCGGCCGATGAAGAATGATCATGCCTGTGTGGAAGACCATGTGTAGATGCAAGACATAGGGCGGGACCTGTCCGACAGTCCACTGGTTCCAATGTAGCTTCTGAGGCAGCGTGGCCAGCCATTTGACCAAAGAAGTATGAACTTGTTGTGCTGTCGCAGCGGCCTTGGTGGCACACGTCTGCCTCGGTCAATTCTCAAACACGTCGACAATCAACACGTGAAAGATCTTGGCCAATTCGGCCTGATGTGTGAATGAACTGACTGTGGCGAGGCCGTCTTCAAAGGCAGTGGATGAGATGCTTTTGGCTATGTAAGAGTCGAGGAGGCTCTCCCACTCAGGGGGATACGGGATACGAATCGTGTTTCGAACGTTGGCTTCGTGAGGATACAGCGCCGGCGGCCGTCCGAAATAGAGGCTCATTTGCTTGTCGACAATGAAGACCGCCCAGTAGACGCGCCGCAGGATCTCCCTGTCGACAGACGATTCCGACTTGCTGCTTGTCCAGTTTCCTGGATCCAAATGCAAGCCCATTTCATGTGTAAGGCGGAACGCCATGCCGCAGAACAGCCAGCCTTTGGAGCTCCTTCCCTGTCCAATTTCCAGATGACCCAAGATGATAAGTGACTGGAGAGTTGTGAGATCCGGCAGCTCGAGGGATTCGAAGACCATGGCGCCGGCGCGTTTGAGAAAGACTGGCAAGAGTGCCCTGAGTGTGGGCTCTTGGGAGATTGAGGCGCCGACGGCACAGATGGAGAACATGAGCGTATCGGAGTAGTAAGGCCCGCTTTCGGCATGATAATCTCGGAGGAAGTATTCGCGGTAGACGCACATGTTATATTGGTAGACAGTCTGGAAGAACGTTGCCATCAGTTGACGGCAAGTTTCGTCCTTGGGCTGAAAGGGGAATGCCTGATACTCCATGTTGTCGTTGTGTGTAGTTTCCGTGTCTGGACCCAATCTACGCTCTCCAGGACTCTCAGAGGGCCCTTCAAGTTGCTGAGGGTTTGGGGGTGTCGTCTCTGAGAGTTGCATGAACAAGCTGGTGCCGCCGTAGAACTGAGACGCCTTTCTCGCAGCCGCGAGCTTGCACATTCGGCCCTCCCGTGCTCTGGCAAGGACGAGATCTCCGGGCTCTGAGGGAGAGCCTGATGCAGCTGATGGCACATGATCGTCTACCCTGAGCGATTGGCTCGCAGGTTGGGGGTGCGGTTGATATGATAGAGGCGATGATGAGGATATTCCGGCGAGAAGTCGAGACCTTGTAGCATCATCGGCAGAGGCGAGATCTTGAATGAACAATTCCAATGACTTCACCTGACTCTCCAAGGCTTGAACATGCTTCTTCGAAGCTGGACTACATTTGAAGCTGTCAGCAATGGGATATGTTGAGCAACCCGCTCTGGGAGTGATCAGCATCGCTTCTTGCTTGCTCACCGTGATCTTTCACCTCCAGAAGGGTATGAGCAGTCTACTTTAGCCGCTCGACACTGGGAGCAAGGATTATGTCGGTCACGTTTGATCTTCACTTCTATTAGCTCAAGCTAACCTGCTGCAGAAGGTCACCAACTTTGCGTTTTCGACAACGCTCACATCTACAGAACAGCGCGCCGCACTATTAGCCAGTGCTCTATTCGTCACTTGCAGCATTTCGGAACGTGTCGCATTGGCTCAAGGGAAGTGATCATCAGAATGCAGTGTTGGTAGCGACATGGAGGGCATCTCACGATATTCCGGTCAACTCAGACATCATGCTAGCTGTTACAGGGCGCGATTCTACTGCTTGTGGATCCATCTTCTCGCAGTTGCTGACTTCATGCGAGAGTCCACGAGGACAGAGATGACTTGGGTGACGGTGAGCGACAGACGGAAATCGGGTCCGATGAGGTACCTTGACAAGAGTTTATCAAACCGACCACGGAGTCGGGAGTCCATGTAAATACGACGAAGAGGGTCGGCCTGGACAACGACACCCCGCACGAGTAATCTTCACTACAAAGGACGCTTGTACGTGTCTGACTCGCTCTATCGTCCAATTGTAGGGAGCTAGGCGACAGACAATAGCTAGGGTCATGTAGCTCTCTCATTCCACTGGTGATTGAGACGGAGGCGGACGTCCGTCTCCAGTCCTGGGATACCCCTTCACCTTGTTAGGCCAGTGCATGATACATCAGCCTCCTGGAAAGCGCAGCCACCCAAGTTAGGGCCATCGGCACTGTAACGGATAGTCTTAACTTCTGCGCAGCAATGGTCCAGTCCCAAATTGCCGGTAACAGTCCCTAGCTTCGTCTGATAGTGTATCAATCATGATAGCCGCCGAGTCTGCCCCGCATTGTCCGAGTCCGGGGTTCACCCCCAGATAAGCCAGGGTGACACGACAAGAGCTCCGGAACAAACCGTGCTTATGTTGTATGAGTTGCAATGATGGTCGTAGTTCCTTCTTGACAACATCTTGGATGCCGGTGAAAAGTGATTTCCATAAATACAACACGTCTCGCCCAATGGGTTTTGACTCGATGTCTTGTTCGATCTCACTCCACCGTCACCAAACTCCCAGTCGATCACACTGCTCAACAGAAGCCCATTCCTGACACGATCCTCTACCTCTACTTCAGTCACTGCGCAGCTGTCAAACCAATCATGGCGTCAGAAAGGGTCTCTGAGACTATGCCGGTTCCGCCAAGCGAGAACACGAACTTGGAGGTGACCAAGTCCGCTCTCATGACCAACCACGGTCATGAAAAGGAAGGCCCAATCTGCGAAGAGCCTTCCAACGAAATCTATGTTGACCCTCTCCTCGAAAAGCGCGTCCTTCGGCGTCTTGATTATCGGTTTGCCCCTCTTTTCTGCGCACTCTACTTCATGGCCTACCTGACCGAAGCAACATCGGCAACGCCTACATCGCTGGCATGCGAGACGAGCTCGGTCTCTCTGGCGCCCAATTCAGCACTGCCGTCAGCGTCTTCTTCGCTACCTATGTTGCGTTCATGGTCCCTTTTGTTCTGGCTCTGAAGAAGTTGAAGACGCACCGCGCCATTGCTGTCATGGCTTTCGCCTGGTCCATCGTCACCATCGGCACGGCCTTCATCAAGAGCTACAGCGGGCTCCTGGCGTGCCGCATCCTTCTGGGCGTCTGCGAGTCGGGTTTCTTCCCTTGTATCAGCTCGTACATCACCATGGTGTATAATCGTCATGAGCAAGGTCTGCGGTTCTCCTATCTGTTCGCTGCAATGGCCTTCTCAGGCATGTTTGGCGGGCTTGTAGCCACGGGAATTACCAAGATCGGCAGTGCCGGTGGGATTCCGTCGTGGAGCTGGCTGTACATCATTGAGGGACTCATCTCCCTCACTGTTGTTCCATGGGCGTGGTTCGGACTTCCCGAGCACCCAGCCACGGCCAAATGGTGGACACCCGAGCAGCGTGACACCATGGAAAGACGCGAGCTGAAGCGTCAGGAGTACATGGGCACCGAGGCGTTTGAGTGGTCGCAGGTCTTCTCCGCTCTCCAGGACTGGAGGCTCTGCACAGGGTGCGTTCTTCTCACTCGACGTTGGATCGACTTGACGTGGGCGCCTGCTAATGCTCACCAGAGCTCTCATTCAGTTCTTCCAGGACGTCATTCTATATGGCTTCAGCAGCTCCCTCCCTTCTATCCTCTGCGACGGACTTGGCTTCTCGAGGCTCGAGGCCCAATATCTCAGTGTCCCAGTGAACCTCCTCGGCGGCATCTCCTTCTTCGTGGCCGCCATGCTAGGCGACAGGTACGGACTTGGCGGCAGCATCCTGCTGTTTCTCGACACCTTCGCTGTTGCCGGCTACGCCATCCTTCTGTCCGTGTTGAACTCTGGCGTCCGCTACTTTGCCTGCTTTCTCATCGCCTTGCACCTCTTGGAAAAGAACAACTCATTATTGCTCACTTGATTGTTCCCTTAAGTCTCTGCCAAGAATAGTTTCAATGTGATTTTAGGAAGTCCAGTCTCAGAGCGAGTGTCTCCACGATTGTGTTGAGAGAGGCTTTGTGTGTATCCGATAGCTTGTCATACCGGTCATCGGCGTCCTATACACTTGTGACACAAATTTTCGATGTAAGTTTTGGAACAGCCGCTCTTCAGGCTATTCCTTTGGGCTAGGCGTCACAGCTTTTGGCATGAAAATCGTAGCCGGCGCTGTATTCCTTCGAGTTGGTGCTTTGAACAGTTGGTCTATGGAGTTTGAGCATCCATTGATGAAAAGAATTATAAGCCATTTAGAAATGCACGATCAAGTATGTGTACGCCTTTGCAAAATATTCAATATGAATAAGCGCGCTCGGGACTATCTACTGACTTTCGTATCTCTACGTTGATGGCAGCAGTGATGGAAATGGCTAATCAGTCCTCAAAAGTTGGCGGCGATCCAGTATCCTCCCATTCACCAGAATGCCCGTAGTTCTGTGACAGCAGTCCGTACACTGCGCATGGGCGATACAGCCAAATATGATATGGTGGACACGCCTATTTGAGCACTTGGTCCTCCATACAATCCAGCACAAGCATATGCCCCGGCGCATGCGCCATGACCGTCCCCTCGAGATTAGCCCTCATGACAGCCTCCTGCGGCGTGACGCCGCAGCCCCAGAACACAGGCACGTTCTCATCGTCTCCCGCAACATCCCCTAACGGCCGCCCGTCCATGGTCAACGGCGCGTCTCCCCACTGCGGCACGTTGACGTCCTTGATGCCGAGCCTCTCGAGCGCGTCGCTGCAGAAGCTGTGGGACGACGGCGGGCGTTCTCATTCAATCGCCTCAGCTTGACATTATCACGTATGTTTCCTCCTCTCTATCCTCGGCCTCCTCTCTGTCATCAGTCAAAGACTTCTCACTCACCATCTTGTGTTTCGCCTACGGAATGTGGCCATGGTAGTCATCGAGGCTCGCGCAGCGAAGCACGCCGTCACCCAAGGTCTTTGCTGGCACTGGAAACAGGCAGCAGAGAATATCAATCATCTTCTGCGTGTTCCGGCATGCCTCAAATTCATCTGTTGAAAGCGCATACCGTCTGCAATACTGGTGCATCTCACGCAGCCACTCCTCAGACAGGAACAGTCACGTGATGTCGCGAGGCGAGCGTATCGCGTGTCTTATCGCAGAACGCCAAAGCTCTTTTCGGACATTCCAGTTTTACTCGCTGTGCAGAGCTCCCAACTGCCATCCAGTCCATCCAGTCCATCCAGTCCATCGAGATTCTCGCCCTCTCCATCATCAGCCATCGGTACCGGCCAATGCGAGTTGATACGATGCGAGCCTGCCCCAGGTGACCTCGAAACCCTCACGCGCCGCTCGAGGTCGCACCACTACCACTACATCTTCACTAGACCCGCCATCTTCCACCATGGCCTCAGCCTCGGCCGCCGCCGCCTTCGTCCCGCGCCTGCGCTTCCCCCTGTCCGAATCCATTCCGCGCTCCTACTACCTGGGCCACCACCATGCCGGTCTCCGCGAGATCACAAACCGCCTCTCGAGCATCGGTCTTGTTCTCGAGTGTCGAGACTACCGCGTGCCCCTGACGTCCTGGAACCCCCACCTCGACCGCGCCGTCGCCGGCCGCAACCGCATCATCGTCTACACCCACCGCGACCTGGGCACCGACAGCCCGCACTCGGTCGAGCGCGACCTCCGCCGCTACCACGCCGGCCACAACGCCGCCAACAGCGCCGTCGCCGGCCACCGCGTCGTCTTCTGGCGCAAGGACGACCCGAGCAGCACAAAGGCCCTCCTGCGCCACGTTGCCGACGCCGCGCGCGCCGTCGACTCGCTGACCGGCGTGCGCGCCCTCGTCGTCGGCATGCCCAACGTCGGCAAGAGCACCCTCCTCAACCGCCTGCGCACCCACGGCATGGCCAAGAAGGCCTCGGTCGCCCGCACCGGCGCCCAGCCAGGCGTCACCCGCAAGCTGTCGAGTCCCGTGCGCATCCTCGAGGGCGGCGGCAGCTTCGCCCGTGACGCCGCCAGCAGCGCCAGCAGCGCCAGCAGCGCCAGCAGCGCCAGCAGCGCCGACGGCGGCAGCCTCGGCGAGGGCGTCTTCGTCCTCGACACGCCGGGCGTCTTCATGCCCTACGTCGACGACGCCGAGGACATGGTCAAGCTGGCGCTCGCCGGCTCGGTCAAGGACGACCGCATCCCGATGGAGATCCTCGCCGACTACCTCCTCTACCGCCTGAACCGCCTCGACCCGGCCCTCTACGCCCGCTACAGCCCGCCCACCAACGAGGTCAACGACTTTCTCGCCGGCGTCGCCCGCCGCACCGGCAAGCTCAAGGCCGGCGGCGTGCCCAACGTCGAGGCCGCCGCCGACTGGGCCGTCAAGCAGTGGCGCGCCGGCCAGCTCGGCCGCTTCATCCTCGACGACGTCAACGACGACGCCATCCGCCTCAAGGAGATGGCGCGCGAGGGCCGCGGGCCCACGAGTCTGAGCCAGGCCCGCAAGAGGGAGAAGGAGATGAGGCGGGAGAGGGCCATTAACAAGCAAAAAGCCCTTTGACTTTTCACCTTGTTTCTCTCTTCACTTGATTTCTCTCTCCCCTCTTCCACCTCATCCAGCGACCAGATGATACCCCCTCCTCTACTCCCTACCAGACCGTGCCGCATGCTCCCCAACCCGGGAGCCCCCTTGCCCCCCCAGATGTAGCAGGCCAACTGCACAGCACACTCACGAGACCATCATGCCACAAAATAGACCAACTGCTTCTTGACAATTAAAACAAGCCACTGTGACTACAAAAATAATCCGCGTCCTTCTCAAGTGCGGCTGTTCCATACTCCAGCCCGTACATTGGGGGTATATACGAAATACGGAACCAAGCCCCAGCTCCGACCGACCCAGTCTTCGTAGGCCGTACAGTAAACGCCAAAGCCTGTCTGTTCCTGGAGCGCAAAGATGTCATGACATGGGAAAAGTAGGAAGAAGAGAGAAGAAGAAGAAAAAAAAACGCCGTAAATGCCGTGCCTGTTGCGCCAGTGCCATACACATGGAGGGGTTCTCCGCCAAACCCAATCGTCATATCATACATCCACCGTTTGCGCCCCTCTGTCCAATTTGACATCTACCACAGGAGTCAAAAACATGCGACTGCATCTAGTTCGCATACTGGTTTTGCCATTTGACGAGATCGCGCGTCAAAACATCCATCATCTCCACGCAGCTGAGTTCCTTAAAGTCCTGTCCTCCGGCAGGCGCTGCCGAGTCTCCATTCGCATGATGAGCCACCTTGGACTCGCTCTCAGAAACCCCGTTCGCCTGCGTCTCGGCGGCGCTGGGGACAGTATCGCGGGGACTATGCTGTTCCGAGTTGTTTTGACTGCTCCCGGAACCGGACGACGACTCGCCTGCCATCTCGATCTGGGTCTTGGAGATAAAGTCGAGAAAGGCTGCCACGCGCCGCTTCATATCAGGGAGCGAGGCTTTGCTGTGGACATGGGCCTTGCTCCTGGCGGTATGTTTGGCACTGTCGACTCCCGAGGCCTTGGTTGTCCCGCCTCCGACCGCAGCTTCTTCTTGACGGACCGTGTCCCTCGACATGGATCGGACAGGCGACGCCTCGGGGTCGTCGCGATCTTTGGTGTACTGGTTTCGGCCTTTGGCCCGCTTCTGATGGCTCCGACTCGATTTCTTGTGCGTGCTGCCGGTGGGTGCTGGAGGCGCAGGTGTCGGGTCTGGCGTCGGGGCTGCTGACGGTGTCGGCTCGACGGGCGGCGGCGGAGGTGGTTCGACATTTGGCTTGACGACAGGTCGTGCCGGAGCTGGCACCGCCGCCGTATCTTCGGCAGGCTCCGACTCGGCCGTCGAGTGCCCCTCGCGTTCTATTGCGAGTGTGGGCGCCCCGATCCCATCAGCACGTCTGCGGTCGGCCCGGCCTTTTCTCTTATTTGCGCTTTCAAGACGCTGTCGGTCTCGCTCCTCGCGTTCTGTTCTTTCTTTCGGATTCCCGAGGACACGCAATTTCTTTGATGTCCCGTTTCGGCCTGTGCTGTCATCTTCCGAATTATCTTCGATCGCAAAGTTGCTCTCTGGTGGAGGAGACATCGACGGAGAGCTGGTACGCTGTCGCTTGAGGCTCAATTGGTTGCTGCTTCTCTTGTTAGCAATGGGGGGGCGCTGTCAGGCAGAGATCGGACATACTCCTGGCTGTTGCTGCGCCCGCGCTTGAGTCTTCGGGGCACAAGATCGGAGGGTTGCCCGTCAGGTGCTTCCTCTTTGCTTGCTTCAATCGCACGTCGCAATTGCTCATCTTCGTCGTAGCCGGCGTCGCGGCTGTTCATGGTCGACCGCCGTTTGGCTGCCTGTGCTGCCGATGACGCTCGAGCGCTTCTCGCCGACGAGTCTTTGGGAGAACGGGTGCCATCCTTGGCGACCGAAGTTGCGCGCGACGAGGACCGAGACTGTCGACCGAGGGGAAGGTAGTTCGAATATCGTTGGCTGGAAGGCTAGCTGTCAGCGACTGGCCTAGCCGAGGTGGAGGATGGCAACAGTGGTTGCGACCGAGTAAAGAAGAATAAAACTTCTTGGGCGGTAGCGAAGCGATCCTGGCAACGTACCTGTTGGATGCAATATGAATCTTGTGCAGATCTTTCCTGCACTTCTCGCAAAAGTATTCGTCGGGCGAGCTCTCCTCGGTGAAGATGCCGACGCAAGCGCCGTGCTGCCAAACTTTGCAAATGTCGCACTGGACGAAGAGGCCGGAGACCTCGTCAGACAACTCAATGCTGGCGAAGAAATCGGCCTCTGGGTTTTCTTTCCCGCTCTTGACATCGTCGTCAAAGGGCGGAGGGCCTGGGTATTCGTCAAAGCCGCAGATGCAGCGGACTGACTCGTCATCCTCTTGGATGTCGTCGCCGTCGTTGGCCATTTCGTACGGGTCTACTTGAATTTTGTCGCGGATCTCTTCTTGTGCTCGTGTTCGTCGGCGGGGGAGGACAGACTCTTCTGGTTCATCGAGGGGTTCGGAAGAAAGCGAGGCGCTTGTCGGGGTGGACTTGTTGGAGGACGTCTTGATGAGCGATCTCGTATTCCTCTCAGCTCGGCTGGAGAGGCTTGAGGCAGAGGAGGACTGAGTCGATTGTGTGAGGGTGTTGCCCCGGGCTCGTGAAGATCTTCGGGGGGAGAGAGGTGCCATTGAGGCAAATGGCAGGAAAACACAACAGGCGAAGTTTCGAGGGGGAGGGAAATCAGGAACAAGTAGTAGGACGCAGGGCGAACAGGGACGTAATGGTAGGTATGTTGGTAGTGGGGAAGGGCGGGCAGAGAAGGCGAGGACTTCTTCGAGGCAGTTCGGCCCTTGGTTTGTTCGGGCAAATGAGATTGGATTCTCGGGCGACGCAATGGCTGTTGAGGTGCGGGACGTAGAGGTGGGTAGGGTCGGTCGAGGTTCGTGGGGTGGTGGTCGCAAGAGGAGCAGAGGAAGAAGAGCAGGAAGAAATGCTGTGGGATCAAGCTACGAGACAGAGACGAGGTGGGTGCTCCAACAAGGTGTAAGAGGGGATTGGGGCGTTCGCATGTCCGATACTAGGTGGCCGAGGGAAGAATTCATGCCGTAGAGGACGAGAGGGAGGCGGAAGAGGAGGAGAGGAGGAGAGGAGCAGAGGAGCAGAGGAGCAGAGGAGCAGAGGAGGGACTGGTTCGGGGCCAGGATGGGATCGGTTCGTGGCAGAGAAAGTCGAGGCCGAGAGGTGCTGGTGTCAGTCGCTCTCTGCTGGTTTGCTTGGTGCGGCGGCGCCAGGCGCAGCGCAGCGCGAGCGGAAATGCCCCCTGGTCCACTGAGGTACCTTAGGTACTGAGGTACTGCGGACTGTGGAGGGGGTCTTTATGCAGCTGGGAACAGTACAGTTGGCGGACAAATCAGTGGTGAAAGTCAGGTAGATACACTTTATTCCCATGACCAATGTTGCGGAGCTGTAGGTACTGGATACTTGGTTCGGGCGCGCCCTCCGATGCACAAAAGACACCGTGCGAGAACCCCAACCATACCACCAGGCGCATGTTCAACAGCTTCGAGCTGACACCCGACGCACGGTGGCAGCATGGCACCCCGCGCCTCTCCGGCCTTGTGCTCGCAAGCTCAGCAGGGCCTGGCAGGTCAGGTCAGTAGGTACCTACCGTACCTAGGTAACAACAGGGGCCTAGCAGGTCAGCAACAGCAGGCTCAGGAACTCCCGTCACTTGACCGCCCTTCCCCTTTCCAGCCATGGCAAAAGCTGGCTGGCACAACTCGATCCAACCCTGGCTGGGAACCCTGGAACAACGGGAGCTTAGATAATGCGGTCCCCTAATCACACACCAGGCGACTTCATCAATTGCCCTGGGCCCTGGCCGTCATTAGCAATCATCCAGTACCATCCATACCTTGACCCGTCTGACCCTTCGCCGCCAGAACGCTACCGCCAACCATCCTACCCGAACCTCATAGCAGACGTGTTTTATCGCTAATGCTAGCTACTGCTTGTGTGCCTGGCCTCCTGTTTCTTCTCGTCCTCCCCCGCTGCCGGCTCCCTCTGGAACCAATCTGCCCAGCTGATCAAGGTACGCACAATGCATGGCCAGCTGTCCCGCAATGGCCCAGCCCTGACCTGGCTGGCCACATCCAGCCTGACGCTGCTGGATATTGGATCCTCAACATGTCGACACCATATGCTGACAGCCAGTGAGCAAAACGTAGAGAGGCAGGAAATCATCGACATCGACTTTGACGTCACCCCCTGAAGCCCTCTTCCCCCCCCCCCCACCTTAGCCTGTCGTCGCCCCTTGTCCTTAGGGAATCCGGCGTGTACCACTCCGGATTGCTTCACCCCGTGATGAGGCACCATGGGTATGACTCCCTCTGCCCTTCTCCCCCTCACACCCACGACTCGTCTTTCCCGGCCGACGTCGTCTATACCTTACTCAACACTCTCTGTCTCGTTACCCCCAACCTTGATAGCTCGCTTGGCATGTCTGTTAGAAGAGTTGGCGAGGGCACTGGGGCTGGTTGGCACCAAGAGCGCATTCGGGACGGCTGCTTCTCTTTGACCAGTCTCTTCCAGTAGGCCACTGGCCGAACTGGTGGCCACGGTGTCGCAACGCTGCTCACTTGAACCATCCGCCTAACGCGAGCGGGGTTACTGGATCTATCTGCACTGCCGCCTCATGAGCCTCAAGCGTCCCAACCGAACCCCTTACTGACACTGGCACTTTAGGTCCAGAACACGATAGAAGCATGTCTCCCGAGGCCTTGTCCTCTCTCTTCCAGCAGCGGCCCATGCGACCACTTCCCAAGCGACGCCTCAGGGAGCGTTTGTCACCCGAAGTTGCGGACACGATCGAATACCCTCCAGCGAGCCAAAACTCGAGTCCTTTGTTTCTGTTGCCGGGCATTGTGCGGGACGAGAGGTCGTCTAGTGTGGGAAGAAACTACACAGTCATTCGGGATCCTGGATATGAGGGCGCACCCATTGCAACCCACGAAGCAGGCGAGAGTGACGAGGAGGAGGTAAAGCGGTTCGCCAGCAGCAAAGTCGTCCGTCGATCACACCCCCAGATTTTGAGTAGGTCGACCCCGCAGTCGAACAGATCTGGGCAGTCGAAGCACGCAAATCACCAACCGGCACCCTCTACAACCTCTTCAGTCGACGGTTACGATTCGTTCGAGAACACCAATAATAAGAAGAAACGCAATATCCCCACTGCTGGCGACAACACATTGAATGGCACGCATACTCTTGCCGACATCACAGCCCTCGGAATCACGGCTACCGCTGGCTCGCCCGTGACCGACAATGATCAGTCCGGCCCCGTGTCGCCGTCATACTATGGATCTTCAGGATTTGTGGCGAACAACCAGGGGATTTCTGGTCCCGGAAGAGGGCGGTTCGGTCGTTCAAGAAATGGCAGAAGTCCGCTTCGAGCATTATCAGTCTCTGAAGCAGCCAACAGCTGGGTGGGACGAGGGCCCAAGATCCGGCAGCCTCAATGGGCCGCAAATTCCAGTAAGTTTACCCGGCCCTGGACCCTGATGTTGTGTTGTGCTTTTATTTCGCCTGTGCCCGCTACCCTCGCCGACTTGCCGCCTGGACGGTTTTCTCATCCTGCCTGACCTTGTG